CTAGACAGATATAATTCTTTTAACTTTTCATTAAGGAGCGACAACCTAATAGCGATGCCATGCTGTCCCATGTGCGACTTATATGTAGGCATATATATTCAACGTTGTCAACGTTTTGCAAGCATATGAAAAAACAAACGGTATTTTTGGCCATATCATACAAAAGGTTGCATCTAATTATTTACACCTACACATAGCAAAGTAGAAACACCTAGTCCTCAATGGAATTAATGACTGAGCTGCGAGGTTAAATATGATGTTTTTCTTTTTCCAACCTATCCAACAAGGCATTAATGCTTTTCAGGATGACTCTACTTGTACAATTCTTTGTTGCATAAAGTGATTCACCTTTGGTTTCGAAAACGGCAAGCTGCCATGCTTTTGTATATTGATATAATCTTGCTACGATCTATCTATTACTTATAAAACGGAATAGTCAATTATGGAAAGATATTAATATTTTTTAATGAGATAATTTTATTTTCTATACATACATAATAGTCATAATAGTATAACCCGTATTTTCTTTTTTTTTTCTCTATTCTCTTCACATTGATACCACAAACTTTTAATAAGTGTAAGAAATAAAATTATATCCTATAACATGAGAAATATTAATTTCTTATGAAAATTATCATTTATAAAATTATATTGTCATTCTCAAATTTTTCTTTTAATTTATTATTTTTAATATCACAGATTATATTTTATAATTTTTTTTTTTTAAATTTCTTTATCGATTCATTAATTGTTCAAACAATTCAATTAAAGCCCAACAAGAGTGATAAAGTTTTTTTTACTAATTTTTTTAGCAGAACGGCATACATAAAACTCAAACTTGAATCATTAAGTTATATTAAAACAATCGCACTCATGATTAATGGTTTTTACAAATTTTAACTACGATATCACTTATTTGTTACATTTTCACTCAGATTAATAATCCCCCCTCCCCCCCCCCCCTTAAATGATTAGCTGGCACAAAAATATGAACAGATAGCAAGAGATGTAGCGGGTAGTAGAGTTGGAAGAAATGCAATGTTATGCAATAAACTCACTTATTGGTTCAACATACGGGTCACTGATTTAACTTTTGGTAAATTTATAATTTATATTAAAAAAATTATAAATATACTCAAATATTTGTTAAAACAAATATTAATTCCAAATATTTTAATATAAAAAATAATAAATCACACATCATTATTTAAAAAAAGATTAAACAAACATATAATGATTGTGATAATGATGCTTCAAGTTCAATAGACGACATCTCTAGCTATAAATTAAATCAAAGTTTCTTGTATAGTGCATAACCAACATAATATTAGTATTTTAGGTACATAACATATGTAAGTCAATAAGTAATAAATCACTCAAATACTTTAAAAGAAAAAATAATTTATGAATTTAAAAAAAAGATATTCTTTATGAATTTTATTTTTTGGAAACATTTTTTTTCATGAATCAGGTCGGGTCAACGGTAGGGGTGTTTATCAACTGATCCAAACCGATTCAAACCGCGGTGACCGAATCGAAAAACCGATAACAGAATAAACTGAAAACCGAAAAACTAAAAATCGAAAAAAAAACGACAAATTTTAATTGGATTGGATCAGTTTTCGAATTGATTGATGAAAACTGATTCAATCCAAACCGATCCAATATATTAATTTCCCTTTACCTACTTGGGCATTTCTCCAATCATAGTCCAAAAATTTCTAAATCCAACACCCATTAACCCATCAATTAAACCTCAAGAAAAAGCCTAGTCATATCTCATTAACAAAATTTCATCTGTGTAGAGCTTCATATCTCATTGTCCAATAAAAACTATATTATCGTTTACTGATGCTTTTGTTTTTTCAAAAATAAAAATAAAAAATTACAAGTCAATATATACAAAACATGTTATTTGCACAATAATCATGAAACAAATTTTAGGATATTTAAAAAATCGAAAAATGATCCAATAAAAATAAAAATAAATTGAATTAGATCAGATCGGATTTAAAAAAAAAATCCAAACCGAAAACATTGAATCAGATGATTTTTGCTTCTAAAACTCAACCAATCCCGACTGCAAACACCCCTGCTCAACGGTAGAACTGATCGAATTACAATTTTCACTTAAACCAGCCGAGTTGCATCAATTCACATTAATTTCAATGCTTGGCTGTTTCGCGGCTTCAAAGTGAATCAATTATATGATCAATTTATTGATTTTTGGACCGATCCGACCGAAACACTGATTTGGAGTCAATAGAGTTCATTGTCAATAATGAACTCGCCATAAAATTATACACGTTAGAACTTACAATAACTCATTTGAAGGAAAATTTGTGCCTAGTCTAAGTTGTGCGTTTAGATAGCTTCATAGGCATTAAAAGCCGCTGTGCAGTTATCGGCCATCGAAGGTGCGTATTCACTAGTCAGGCAATTATTAACTCAAGCTTTCGCTTTCAACAATCAATTCTGCATCCGCCGCCATGTACATATCTTTTGTTGGCTCATTACATCAACCAAAGTAAACAAAAAAAAGGTTAGCGTTTAATTAATAATATTATCCAATTGGCCCATTTCGTTATATTTGTATTTATTACCCCTTGTTCTGCCAAATGTTGAATGGGGGATTCATGGGATGGGATGTGCAATTTCGTCCCATATATATATATATATATATAGGGACATGATCTTTTAATATTATTGTGAAACTTTAAAATTTGACACTAAATCTTAACTGTTAATTTTATTCAATCAATGGTTATAATTTATTGAGAATCAAACTTATTAATTAATTATTAATTGTCAATAAATAATAATAATTGATTGGCGAAAATCAACAGTTAGTATTTGACGTCAAATTTCAAAGTTTGACATCGGTGTCAAAAGATCATTCTCCATATATATATATATATATATATATATATATATATATATATATATATGGCATTATCGTTTCTCAAGTTGTTTGAGATAATCTTATCTCCGGCTACTAAATCATAACTGTACAAAGATGGATCAATGGTGATAAAAGAAAAGAGAGAAAAAGGAAATCATAACTATTCAAAGGTGAATCAATTGATATAAGAAAATAAATAAATAAAACGACGTAGTTTTGGGGTAGCGGGAGATAAACTTATCTCAAGCTGTTTGAGAAATATTTTTCCCTATATATATATATATATATATATATATATATATATATGAGAAATGATCATTTACAAAAAAATTTTTTTTATAAATTACACTAAATATGACCGGTTATACAATCTTGATTGAAGTATGATCGGTCATACTTAATGTAGTTTGTAAATAAAAAGTCACACACACACTTATTAATTAATTAGTAATTCCCAATAAATTATAATCGTCAATTGAAGGAAATCAACAGTTAGAATTTAGTGTCAAATTATCAAACTTTTTAGTTTGACACCGAATCTCAACTGTTGATTTTCGCCAGTCAACGATTATCATTTATTGAGAATTACTAGTTAATTAATAAGTTTGATTCCTAATAAATGATAACAGTTGATTGGCGAAAATCAACGGTTAAGATCTAGTGTCAAATTTCAAAGTTTGACATCGATGTCAAAAGATCATATCTCATATATATATATATATATATATATATATATATATATATATATGGCAAAATGATTTCTGCAGCTGCTGTACCTACAGCAAGCAAGGATCCGCGTCCGAATCCTAGGATACAACAACTGATCCTGAGTTTTTTTTTTTTAAAAGCCGTGGGGCCCACTTTTCTGTGTCAGCCGTAGATAACACTATCTACGGCTGCTGCAGAAATGTTAAGCCCTATATATATATATATATATATATATATATATATATATATATATATAAGTTAGTGTTTCTTATGTTGTAAGAAGAATTTTATTTGCTATACACATATAAAAATGTGTGGGGCCTATGTGGGGCAAATATGAAGAGAAAAGAAAAGAAAAATATTGATCCCATATACTTTTATGTGTGTAGGAAATAAAATTTTCTTAACATGATAAATATCAATCTTTTATATATATATATATTGATTTTATTTCTCTTATGTCACATAAAATTTTTTTTATCTCTTACTCTCACTTTGAATTATGTGCTCTGTATTCTCTCTCTTTTTTAAAAATAAAGTGGATCCTACCATTTATTGTGAGAGTAAGGAAGATTTATCTTATATATGATATAAGAAAAATAAATCCCTATATAAATAATCTTAATAGTTGGAACTTTCAAATAGACTTCGGTGCATTGTAACTTCCAATAGAAAGGTACCAACCCGATAGTATAAAATTCACATATTTGAGACTTGGGGGAGAGTGATTTCTAAGTAAAAAACATGTTAGCACTTGTTGATAATACTTACATTGGTACTTTCAATATGCATTTCCCTCGGTTCAAGCGACATATTTTAGACAGCTCATTACCATTTTATTCTCTTAATTTTTTGTAACTAAAAAAGGCTTAAACTTTTTTGGGTTCCTAAGAACTGAGCATATTTTCTTTATTAGTGGAGTAGAAGGTACTCCCTTATCAAAAAGAAAAAGAAAATATAAGAGAAAATAATCCTAAAAACAAAAGTAATATAAATATGTTACTTTATTTTTATTTCATATATTTGATAAAAGACGGTAACACTTAAAATATTTTATTCACAACGACATTGAATTCAGTGTTTAATTAATGGGAATCCCTTTTCACTCAATTTTGGGATTAGAGGACAGGATTTATTTCTACACTGTCACCTAAAAACTGTCCATTTCTTCGTGTCATCATTTGTTTGAGATTATACCTTTTTTTCTTTTTTAAATTTTTTTGAAAACCGGTTCTCTTTCTTTCTTCTCTCTCTCTCTCTCTGTGTCGCAATCATTGTGTACTAAATGTTAGAAGAAAATGCCAATAAAAATGGGGTTGCCCACCTTGGCTTACCTGAAACAGATTCTGTTTCCGCAGACTCACATTCAACAAGAAATGAGCATGCTCGGTTTGTAATTGTTATTGTATGTAACGTAACCAACACTTTCTTTTCTTCTGTACCTGTACAGTTGCTGTTAGTGCTAGGAACAGCGTGAATTTTCACATGTCTCTGCTTTAAATAGCAAGGTTGTTAACTAAAGTGCCTTGAAGTGTGTGTCTTCTTCTCTCTCTTTTTTGCAACTTTTTCTTCTGGGTAGCATAAAAAAACATTGGTTTCCGATGGTGTTGTCTCTGTTCACTGTTCCCAGCTGCAAAGTTGTAATCTTTTAGCTGATTTAGTGTTTCGGATGGGAACAACTCAGATGGGGTTCTTGTAACTGATTTTTCTTGGCAAGTTGACAGATAACTTGAGATGAGTAACCAAAAGGATCGTTATGATGAAGATATGGGTTCCTCAGATGTCACCGCCGGTAAAGTGGTGGTGGTTGCAGTTAAAGCTTCCAAAGATATTTCAAGGACTGCTTTGGTGTGGGCTTTGACTCATGTTGTTCAACCAGGGGATTGCATTAAGCTGTTGGTTGTTAATCCGGTTCTGTTCTCAAGTATTGGTTACCCTCACTCATTATTTTCTTTCAATTTATCTCCAATTGCGTATGTTTATGCTGCCTTTATATCTTTTCTGCACTCCATCTGTATCATACTTGATATTCATTTATGACTTTATAAAGCTGAGAAAAAAAAAATGGAATTAAAAAGTTGCATGTAGAAAAGGAGGCACTAGGTATGCAAAGATGAAGGTTGAACAGAACATTTTACACAATTGAGTTTTAAACCTTTAAATATGTGTCCTTGAGATTTGAACAAATCCAGAAATTATTCTAAAACCTGTTCTACTCATTCTGGTAACATAATTCGTGATTGATTATAATCTATGCATTTTCAGGCAAGAGGGTATGGGGCCTTTCAAGATTTACTACTGATTGTGCCACTAGTCAATGGAGATCTCGTTTAGGAACTGCTTCAGATCAGAGAGAAGTTATTACAAATTCCTGTTCTCAATTAGTGCTTCAACTCCATGATTTTTATGATCCAGAGAAGGTTAGAACATAAATTTGTAATAACTTTCAGATATATGTTCCCCTTTTTTATGCTTTATATATATCTAGTATTCAGCTTTTCTAACATGTCAAATATTTACACAGATTAAAATCAGAGTAAAGATTCTTTCTGGTTCTTTGTATGGAGCGGTGGCTGCTGAAGCCATGAGAGTCGAGTCAAGCTGGGTTATATTGGACAAGTAATCAATATAATTAGTGCTTTTGTATTTTCACATTCTATGTTAGTGCCTCTTTTCTTGTTTAAGGCAGATATCTGTTTGGTGTGTTTGTTGATATGCAATGGCATTGACAAATTTCTTATGTACTGAAAAACAACTATTCATTCTTCCACAATTACAGAAAATTGAAACATGAAAAGAAATACTGCATGGAGCAGCTGCATTGCAATATTGTAATCATGAAGCGATCTCGGCCAAAGATTCTACGCTTGAATTTGAATAGTTCACCAAAGATAGAACTCAACGGGGGTTGTCCATTGCCACTGGAGCCAAATTCATATACATCAAACTTAAAAGACAAATCTGAACATCTAGATATTATTAGAGGTCCAACTGTTACTCCTGCTAGTAGTCCAGAGCAAGGGTCACCACCATTGACTGCAACTGATATTGGAACATCATCGATATCAAGCTCAGATCGCGGAACTTCACCATATTTCCACTCTGATAATTATGAAAGACGAAGGAAAGGTTTTCCCTTTGTTCATGAGGGACTGACAAACCTGGAGGATATTGAATCTGACTCAGAGAGCGAAAAGCTAAGTTTATCATCCAAAAGTTCATATTTTCAGCCATGGATTGAAAATTTAATTTGTATAGATGGTGAGTTCTCAAAACATGAGGATCATATGCTAAGATCAAATGATCAGGCTTTGGTTTCTACTTATGAAGCTTTGCTTCAGAAATTCTCAAAGCTGGATCAAGATCCTGTCTTAGGAGTGCTTAATTGTAAAATTGATGTGAACTTAAGCAGAAGTGTTAGAGAAGCAATTTCACTAGCTGAAAGTGCACCTCCTGGACCTCCCCCATTGTGCTCTATTTGTCAGCACAAGGCACCAGTGTTTGGGAATCCTCCGAGATGGTTTACATTTGCTGAATTGCAACTTGCCACTGCTGGTTTTTCACAAGCAAACTTCTTAGCTGAAGGTGGTTTTGGTTCTGTACACCGTGGCGTCCTACCTGATGGGCAGGTCATCGCTGTCAAGCAGCATAAATTAGCCAGTACTCAAGGAGATAAAGAATTTTGCTCAGAAGTAGAGGTCTTAAGCTGCGCACAACATCGTAATGTTGTGATGCTAATTGGGTTTTGTGTGGAGGATGGAAGAAGATTGCTTGTTTATGAATACATCTGCAATGGTTCTCTGGATTCTCATCTCTACGGTAAGTTCCTTTGAATCCTAAATATTTTATTCTACATTCATAACCAGTATTGATAAAGAGATTGCTATATGCTGTTTGTCCTATTCACTTCTGACTTTTTTTATCTTCACACTTCACCTGATCATAAGCTTTTGGCATAATCATACTAAATGTCTTAGCAGGTGAAATAATCTGTTAATGACCATTATATTCCCTAACGAAAATTTGTTTCTCCAGTGTCATCATAATCTTAATAAAATGTTTTTCAATTGGCTGTCCTATATATGAATGAAAAGCAATCAGATAACTCTTCAAGTACTGTTGTTATCAGTGCTTTTATACCATATTTATTTCTTTCACAAATGATTTATGTAATCATCTTCCACCACTAAAAGAAAAAGAGAAAAAAGAGAAAAAAAGGATATTAAGTGATCATTTGGATTTGCAGGACGAAAGCAAAGTGTACTGGAATGGCATGCACGCCAAAAAATTGCTGTTGGAGCAGCTCGTGGTTTGAGATACCTTCATGAAGAATGTAGAGTGGGTTGCATCGTGCACCGTGATATGCGACCTAACAATATCCTCCTCACTCATGATTTTGAAGCATTAGTACGTCCTATTATGCTTCAATTTTAAAAATCTACTTAGGTTTATATTATTGGCTTCATATTCTTCTTACAACAATGACTGGATTTTATATAAAGACTGTTTAGGAAGATGTGCATATTTATGCTTTTAGGTATGATTTAATAATATGAAATGTCTCAACTAACTGGCACTAATGGATTTTAGGTGGGAGATTTTGGACTTGCTAGGTGGCAGCCAGATGGTGATATGGGTGTAGAAACCAGGGTGATAGGAACATTTGGGTAGTGACAGATGAAAGCCAATTTCTTTTTTCATCTCTTTTTCGCCGCTTAATTTTTTTGAATTAGTTGTAAAATGTGATGATGGAAACATTGCCCTTCCATAGGTATTTGGCGCCAGAATATGCTCAAAGTGGTCAAATTACTGAAAAGGCTGATGTGTACTCATTTGGGATAGTATTACTGGAGCTTGTTACTGGAAGGAAAGCTGTGGATATAAACAGGCCCAAGGGCCAGCAATGTCTCAGTGAATGGGTAATATTTTTTTTCACTCAGGACTTCAATTGTAGCCAATTTATCATCTATCTGAAAATATTATGTAAAGAACCTTGGGATACACCACCCAAAAGCTAGCTCAAAGGTGGGAGTGCCCAAGGCCTTATAAAGGCCATATTAGTTGCCCATCCAATCAATGTGGGACTATATATCTCAACACGCCCCCTCACGCAAGAGCCCTTTGGGCTAGAAGCGTGGAATTGTACAGGCCCAATTTTTGGTTTACCTTTTTTGTGTTTTTTTTTATTTTAATTCCACTTTAAAGCGGGTGACAGTGAGACTCTGATACCATGTAAAGAACCTTGTGATACACCACCCAAAAGCTAGCTCAAAGGTGGGAGTGCCCAAGGCCTTATAAAGGCCATATTAGTTGTCCATCCAATCAATGTGGGACTATATATCTCAACACGTCCCCTCACGCAAGAGCCCTTTGGGCTAGAAGCGTGGAATTGTACAGGCCCAATTAATGATTACATATTCAAATGTTTAATCTAAATTGAATTTAATGATGTAGTTTTCATCCCATTGAACAAGAACAGAGTAATTATACCTGCCTTTGTTTCAAAACCAGTTTAAAATTATTCTTCATAATTGCTTGTGGTTCAAATTGTTGGACAGGCACGCCCTTTGCTCGAAGAACATGCCTTTCATAAACTAGTAGATCCGAGCATAAGGAACTCTTATGTTGATCAAGAGGTTTATGGCATGCTGCAATGTTCCTCTTTGTGCATCCGAAGGGATCCTCATTTAAGGCCTCGAATGTCTCAGGTTTGAAAATTAATTCGTATGTTTATAATTGTATGTATTGCCTTTGTACTATGTCACATTAAATCATGGTATGGATGAACATTGGTTTTTTGTGGTTCATCTATCCCTCATTTTTATTTTTTATTTTTTATACTTTCTCATATAGGTGCTCAGGATGCTGGAAGGTGACATTCTCATGTGATTGCTTAATAATGACTTGTGAGTAATGGCAGAGGACAAGTTGGAGGTTCTTCTCCAGGTTCTTTACTTTTTTATCCGTGGAGAGAGGCACAAGTTCAAAGCCTCTTGCACATTCTTCTGAATTTTCTTTTGTAAACAGCTTGAAGTTTACTCGTACATGTTGGTTATGAGTGCTGTAAATTCGAACTCCTATTAATTAATTAGTTCATTGTACAGAACATGATTCCAGTTTTGGTATACCTTAGCAATTAAAGTTATGCTGATATTTACCACACTAAACTTTTACTTTTTCCCCAATAATTCAAACTAAACTCTGAATGTAAAAACATAGTAGCGAGATAGGCATAAGCCCACCTAAACCTAATGCATTAATCGATTGAAGTCAGCAAGCTAAGAGTTTAAAAGTCGTTTGCTTGTGTTCAAAGTTCAAAGAATTTGAATATTAAAATTGATTTATATTCAAATTTCAGGATTTTCAATTCAAAATGGTTATCTACCTACTAGAGTTGAAAAAAATCGATTGCGACCTAATTTTAATGAAATACTCCGTAATTGTACTCGATTATTACTCATCTACGTAGAATAGCTGAAGTACTGATTTGAAAAAACTTGAATTTCAAGGTAGTGTGTTCGAACATCACCGTGTCACCGATTCTAAAAGTGGATCAATGGAAAGACTTATTATTTTAAATTGAAAGTTAATCATTTCCATATATATATATATATATATAGAGGTAGGATCCTTTGACACCGGTGTCAAATTTGAAGTTTGACACCTCATCTGAGGGTCGTTAGATCAAAAAAGATCAACGACTCTGGTTTGTAAGCATGTGATGCCATTGATCTTTTTTGATGTAACGGCTCTCAGATGAGGTGTCAAACTTCAAATTTGACACCGGTGTCAAAGGATCCTACCTCTATATATATATATATATATAAAACAAGTTATATCATCAATTGATCTCACTTGATGTTAACAGTTTTTAATTTTGATCCAACAATAATAAAATTGTTAGTAAGAGATAGTAAGAAAAAATGATAGTAACCTCCGTATCTCCATTCACATACAAATGGTTGGATCGTACTTCTTTTCTTTCTCTTTTCTCTCATAAAATTCTACTTAGTTGCATGTGTGTGTACTGTATAGGACATAAAAGTTATCTTTTTGTAGGAGAAATATTAAGTATATGGCACAGAAGATATAATTGTCTATGTATATGGCTGGGTTGCTTATTACTAATAGAATAAGTGAGAAGAAAAAGAAGCATCATAAAAGATGGAAACCAAAAAATGAGAGAAGGGAACAATGCGTAGCGTCTAATACAAGTGCAGAAAAATAATGAAGAAAACAAGGGAAGTGGTGGAGGCGCTAACAGTGACGAGAGGAGGAGGAAGTAAGGTTTTTAGTTCAGAATTCGGAGAGTAGTCGCGAGTGTGGGTTTGGGTTCAACGTCCCGGGCTTATACATTTGGGCTTAAATGTGTTCAAAATTTAAATATATATTTTTTAACACACATAAATAATTTTGGTGCGTGAGTCAGCACCCATGGACAAAGGAAATTAGGAATTCAAGACCCAAAAGGCCCAAGCCTAAGGACGACACTTGAGATTTGAGAACACACACCTTTCTAATTGAAACTGTGTTGACTAAGGAGAACAGATTATGTTGAATGCTAGCAGCTCTGTACGTGATTACTGATTGTCACGTCGTGCAAGCTAAGCTATTAGTCATTTCACATGGCATTCAATGACTTAATGTTATCCGATTCCTCAGATAATTGTTTTTACTTGCTCGAGCTATTAAAGTTTTACTCCAACTGAATTGGACGGTTATTGGGTGGAATCATGTCTTCATACAAAGAAACTGTGTCAGATGGACTAGCTACGTTTAGAGCCTCGCATTAAACATATTTCTTATTGTTCACTCCTTTGTTTCCATTCACTTCTTTCTCATTCTTCTCACACTCTCTGATTAATAAAGTCCCTATATTGTAATTTTCGGGCTTTAGCTCCTTTATTTCTCAAAAAAAAAAAAAAATTTAAAATTGCTCGAAAATAAAAGTTTTGTGAGAAGCATTTCAAAAATAATATTATTATTCCTCTAGAGATAATTAAATTCAAACTGTTGGAAATATTTAATGGTGAGTAATGATGAAATCTCACATTGTATAAAAATGAATCAAATGAGGATAATATAAGTGCAAAAAATCAATAAATTTATAATCTTAAAATTTTGATTTGAAATTTGGTGTCTGTTCATTTATTGTGATATATCATTTGACCCAATGATAAAAAATTTCCTTACAAAAGAGTTTGGGCTCTCATGTCATTCTTAACACAATCATGCTCCTTGACAAGTTGTGATTTATGTACCAATTCAGGGATATTTTTATTTTATTTTTAAATTTGTTTTAAAATGAATTTATTTGTAAAGTGGACACATAAATATTTATTTTTAAGTTTTAGTGGTTTAAGATTATGATCAAATTCTTTTTTGGATACAAGATTATGATCAATTTTAAATTAAATAAATGTTGAATTTATCTTTATTTATTCATTTTAGATAACAACTTCATTTAAAAGAGTCTTGTCCGTAATATTTTTATATAGCGTTAATCAGTGATATTTAAAAGACTTAACAAAAGGATAAAGTCCTTAATTATATTTATATTTGAAAAAAAAAAGTTTTGATGTGACAAAAAAAACTACAATTAAACCTAATGTTAAAGAAGAGCAAGGTTATACTTACAACCTTTTTTTTTTCTTATAACCTCTTACAACCATATCTTATCACCGTTGATTTTCGCCAATCAACGGTTATCATTTAAGTAAATTAAACTCATTAATTAATTATTAATTCACAATAAATGATAATCGTTGATTGATGAAAATTAACGGTGATAAGATATGATTGTAAGAGGTTGTAAAAAAAAAAAATTGTAAATATAACCATCCTCGTTAAAAAAATATATAAATCTTTGTACCTGTAAAAGTTAGTTATTTAGTATTTTTTTAAGGGAAATAATACTCTCATGCCACATGAGATACTCTCATTTTTTTACACAAATTCGTTTTCCGTGCCAAATAATTCTTCTTTTCTTTTTTAATATAAAATATGGGACCCACAATTAACTTCTCTCTACTTTTTTTCTCTCCTACAATCCTACAACATAAGAAAAGTTAAACCCTTTTTTTAATCCTTTTAGTTTCGGTTAGTGGCAAACAGGTGGCCCAATTTTGCTCCTTCTAGTTGACATTTGCGCGTGATGTTGCGTTGCTCAACCCAAAGAATAAAAACTCTGAATTATTATATGTGGTATTGTATATAATTTTTAAATTTCATTATTCAACTTAGTTATAATAAAATTAAAAAAATTATATTAATATTTATTACTCATGATTTTTAATCATATATAAGTTTATGATATATTATTAGGTGTAAAGTATTTCTCTAGTCACTGGAGATAAGTTATCTCCAGTGACCCTCAAAATTACATCGTTTTGAATTAACGAATGATGTTTTCGTAAAAAAATTTATCATATTAATTTTATGAAAATATCTTTCATTAATTCTCCTAAAATTATAAAAACACTCTTTATTAATTCTAAACGATATAGTTTTGGAGTTATTGGAAATAACTTATTTCCGGTGAATGAAAAAATATTTTACCCTGTTACTAGACATAAGGTTTATCATAAACCCGATTTTATTACTACCTTTTTTTTCTTCCATGTAACTATGTCATCATTTTGCAAACTATAACTCACATGATTATAGTTTTGATACAGTAATATTTTGATCAAGATCACCATGAGTGTCTATTTTTATTGTTTGTACCAAATTACATAATTGCAGTATCCTGAATCAATTAATGATTGGCTATAGCTATAACGTTGTAAACTATGAAGCACCGACACTTCAAAAATTTTAACGTGTCGTGTCCGACACTCCGACACTCCCGACACCTCAACACGTATTATAGAAATTCAAAAAAAGGTTAAAATATTTCGTTGTGTTGAGATTTTAGTTCCAACTACTATATTCGTTGGATTACGATTATCATTTTATTGAGTTTAATATAAATATTTTGGATATCTTATGTTTCTTTGCAAAAAATTGATAAATATTATAAGTTTAGTTTCATTTTTTTGTTAAATTATTGAATGTTAAATATAACATACACTACATAAATTAAAAATATTATTTAATATCAAAACGTGTCAAAATCTAATATTTTTTAGAATTAACGTGTCGGAGTGTCATGTCGTATCGTGTCACGTGTCAATATGGGTGCTACATAGGTTGTAAACAAGTTTCATCAGGCAACCAAAAGGGACCATCTCACGGAATTAAGCACTTCAATCAAAACATAAATGATCAAATATATAGGATTTTCAGTTATTTTCTCCTAATAACTTAGCCTATTATGTAATCTCCAACAAGATTAACTTTCGAATGCATGAATGTTTTCTAACGGAGATCATGATAATGTTACCTCCACGAAGTCAAATTATTTCACATAGATTGGCCCCAAAATCAATTAATATTCAATACATGATTGCCAAATTTCCGTCTTCATAATAAAAAGAGAATATAATGTCATTGTCTTTCCAACAGTTCTACGGAAAGGAGGGAAGGGTTTTCTTATTTTTTAAACCCAATTACTGACACTCTTGATGAGAACAGATAGCATATTATAGTTTATAGTTGATGATCGCAATACAAACACAACTTGTAACAGGTATTTCAATAATGAAAAACGAGCATACGAAAAAAAATAAAAATAAAAATAAAAATTCCCTAGCTCTCTTCCACACTCAAACAGCAAAGTTGGTGCCGAAAAAGGATATTTTTTTGAAAATGTCCGTACAGTATATCACAAGGTCGATCGATTCATTCTACAAGTGGAATCTAATAGAGACTTTATTTTTATGTGAAAACAACAACGTCAAATGAGCATCTTGAGTTCTCTAGGTTCTTTTTTATATATATTCTTGCAATTTAATTAAATAATTACTCATTTATGACAGTTTTGGGAACAAATACAAATGTACTGCACAATATGACGCCACTTTTGGGCGTCTCACCCTAGGGAGAGACGCCCCATTGGGGCGTCACATTGTGCACCCTATATAATCCCCCACCCTTCTATTCTCTCTTCACACCTCTTCTCTCACTCTTCAT